CACCGCACATTTTGAGGGAAAAAAAAGACGTTTAAGTGCGCCTTATAGTCGTGAAAATACGGTAAAAAAAATTATGCATCAGCTGTTCATACATTTACATTAAACAGTTGCCATTTCTAATCGGTCCAAAAAGAAAAAAAAAAAGAGAAAATTAATCAAAATCTACAATTTAAGATGGGGGAAATTATAAAAATGACATAAAGATTAATGAATAACTAGGAAAGGATGTAGGGGGGAAAAGCATAGAAGGCCAAGAAACCATCTGTTAAGAGCACAGGGTCTCTTTTCCATATTTTTAGTTTAGGAATACTGTTTTAAAAAATGCGTTTTCTAAAGTGAAACTTAGGGACAAATTGGCTCTGCAAAAGTGCAATACTGTAAATAAGTGTACTTTCAAAACACTAACCATCATCCATATGCATGTCCTATATAAGGATATTCAATTCTGGTCTTGTGTAGATAATTAGTTTTAAAAAAAAACAGCACAACATGATATCATACACTTGGCCGATATAATTATCTTACAGTTTAAAAAGTTCTTTATTACAATTGGCAATAAATTGTAGGAATGACCCAGATTCAATGCAAAAGACTTCACCATAAACAATAAGTACACAGAAGCATATTGTAAGATTTATGGAGATGATTTCAACAAGTCAGTACATTTTTTGGAGAATATAATCTGTCAGATGAGGCCAAGACTATTGTCCCACACAAGTAGCAAAGAAAACTATTGATTGGTTCCAGATAAAATACAGTGAAACTGGAAGAATGACTCAGTTAGTCAGCTGACTTGCATCCAAATTAACTGTCATAGCTGTCACATAACATTTAGTTAACACCTGTGGTGTTTCTAAATTTGCAGCTTCATACTGCCAAAATAAGGCTACTGCTGCTACTGTCTGTCATTACAACTGTTTTATATGAAAGGATAGACCCTTTCAAAGGTTTAAAAAACAACAAATTTGTTTTTTTTTGTTTTTTTTTCATTTTTGATTATTTGAATGTAGTCGGGTAAAATAGTTCAAATTAATGGAAATATTTGAAGATCAGAGCGCATAGAAAGGGCCCTTGAACTCTCAAAATCTAAAGAGAGTTTGTGTGGACGAAAGGTCAGAATGTCACATAAGCAAGTAACTGTTGCTCACCTCTTATTCCCTGCACCATTTCACTTCATTAAACATAACTTCCTTCATGGACTAATATATATACTTTGATTGTGGTTTGCATTTGCATAATTGATAGCATCTGGCTGACTTTTTGACAATGACCCATTCAAAAATATTCAAGCTAACAAAGAAACTGTGATGTTATTTTAAGAAATAAAACTCTAAAATGTTCATCTTGTAACCCTTTTTTTATGGGCAAGCCAAAGGATCTGTTCCGTCAGAGCGTTCTCCCTCGTCTCCAACGCGCCGACAAGAAACACCGGTTGTCCTCTTCCTGCTCACAGCTTCGCCCTCTGGACGAGGACAACACTCTCAGTCACGAGGGCAAACACAGGTAAGTTCAGGCCCATTGTGCATGTGTCTGTTAACAGCATAGAAATGCCTGTGGTTATAGGGTATACCCTGACTTTCTCTTTTGAATCTGCACGTCTGGCTAATAAGTAACAAGTCTCTCATAAAAGTTGGGAGACTTTGTAAGCTGAAGATAGCTATTCATAGAAAATCTGAAAAGCCTCCATATGAAGAGTGGTTTGGTTTGTAAAACATTAACTGGTACTTCAACAAAGAGATAAAACACTCATAAAAACATTTTCATAAGTAGCTCACTAAATTTACTATCGTGTATCAAGTGTGTTTCTGTTGCTCACACTAAAGTTCAGGCTCAGATTAAAGACACTGAAGTGGTTGAATTCATCATTCCCATTCAAACTAGGGTTTAAACTCATATATAAGAGCAGCTTAGGGAAAATTGAAAGAAAAAGACAAAGCAGCAAAAACAGACATCTACTTAAAACAGGAATCTTTATTGAATCTTTAAAGTTATTGGACAATTTTTCTGAATGATAGGATGGAACCCCTTTACTATAAAAAATGTCCAAACCAATGGGTCACATTAGATAAATGAAAACATTTTTAAGTTCTTTAAACTGAAAAAGCTTCTGTGAAAAATTTGTTGTGGTCCTGATGAAAGAATGTCCACTTTTGACTTTGGATGCTATTTTTTTTGTCCAGTTCTCAACCCTTTTCACAAAAACCTATTGTGACATAAGCATCAAGCCTTTAATATAAATCATCTTCATCATACAAACATTAGATAAAAGTAATTTCTATATGAAATAACAAAGAATTGAGCAAGGACCTGTTTTGAATGATCCATCATTAGGAAAGAAGACCGAAAATAATGTTTGAAGTTTCTAAAGAAAAAGCTCTATCAAGGAGAGTGATTCAGCTAAACTCAGTACATATAGCTCAAAATAATTTTCTAAAATTTTAAATTGATTATTTGCTAAGTTGCTAGTTAATTATTTACAGCACTGCTTTAGCAAAAGCAGCCAATGGAAAACAGCTTCTGGAAACTTGCTCCACAATCGTTATAGACATTGAAACATCAACAACACACATTCTCTTAGCTGTTAGATGTTGTTTAATTGTTTTAATGCTGTTCTATTTTTGCTTAAAAGCTGAAGTTTCAAAGTCCAATTTTAAAAAATATATATGAGTCTCAGGAAGTTTGAATTGTAGGTGTCAAAGTCAGATGTTTAACACCAGCAGTGACAGCAAAAGACCAATATGGCTGCCTTGCATGCATATTTTGCGACTGTCACTCCCGTCTGAAAAATTACGTTTGATGAAATCTGTAGACAGAGTACATCTTAGTAAAGATGATACTGTAGTGTTTGTTAGAAAAGCATTCTAAAGAATCTATAATTAATATTTGCTTAAAGAGGACTTACAGGCTTATCTAATGATACTGCCACCTATGTCCAAAACACAGAACTGCAGCACTGCTATCCTTGGACTTGAAGCATGTGCTTGTACTTGAAAAATTTGTTGTTGTTTTTTTACTTTTTCGCAACATGGAGATGCCAGTGGTGTCTGGTATCTACAAAATACATCTTGAATATAACGCTTCGATTGTTTACTAGGTCAGACCCATTCAACATGGACATTCTTCGACGTCACAGACACCAAACAGCGTCGGAAATTCTGAACCAAAGATAAATTCAGGAAAATAGGCTACAGGCGTTTAGATGCATCAGCGCTGAACAACTGAGGAGTCTGTCTGCTCATCATACAGTGTTTTAGTCATAAAGGGTAGAGAAAAAAAAGGCTATTGTAAAGATATACTTCAGTAAAAAATTACACAACGTCTCTTTAAGGTAATAGTATTTATCTTGGTCAGTGAAGAAAGCAAATGGCAAGTCCTAGTGTTTTTTTTTTACTTGGGACTATTTTATAAGAATTTTGGGATCAGTTTCATTCTCAGATTAAAGCATCAACTAGAATTAGAGAAATTCAAATTAGAGAACCATGGAACAGACCATATTAAAGGTTTGAGAGAAACAATGGCTCACTGGAATCATAATATAAGGAATGACTCCAGAGTTTTGCACATCCCTGAATTGACCTCTGATATTTGAGAAGGCAACTGCATGTGATGTTTTCTTTTCACCTCATAAAACTCTTAATAGTCCTTCTTTGACATACTATCCAGCAAGAAGGTTTCTTTAAATACAACTTTTGTCACTCAGAAATACTTTGAATTGAATTGCAGCAAAAGGAACCAAAAGAAGCAAGCAAGATAATCTAAGAGATAATCTTGAATTTCTTCCTTATAGAGTTTAAAGAATATATTTTCACAGTTTACTTTTTTCATCACATTCTTTTGCTTTCAATAGTAAATGGAATTCCATTCCTAGAGCGAAAGGTTGAGGAAATCCTAAATAGAAAATCCTGTCCTTTTAAAGAGACAATGACTAACCTAAGTCAGAATGTAGACTGTCATACCCGGTACAGATTTCACTAGGGGATTTGTATTATAACACCAATTCAGTATGAGTGTAAAGTAAATTCAACACGTAATCCAATAATACCATACTTCCATTAAATCAAAACACTGGTTCTTTGGGATGAACTCTATGAAATCTTGTAACCACATCCTGTATTTAGTAATAAGCCTTGAGTAATGGAGGAATAAATGGTTCAACACAAGATGTAGCTAGATACCCAAGGAGCTTAAATGAGTCATTGTTTGTTTGAGTAAATGCCATTCAGTACAAACATTAGGAGCTGCAGAATAAAGCCATTCAACAATATTAATAACACTAACAAAACATGTTATCAAAAGAGCCTTTTTAGGATCTTAAACGATTAATATGATAGTTTTTAAATTACAAACTACATGGGATAAAAATAAACTTTAAGTAAAGCCCCAAATTATTCCAATTCAAGGTAGATATAAATTTTAGAGTAATCTATATACTTGTCAAACATTTTTAATTAACACTTTTAATTAATATTTAGCTTTTGGAGTAGCACAGCCAGAGTCCTTAAAAGTTTAGGGTGAGAAAGTCTTCCAAGCTTTGGTCAAAATGTACTGGTGATCAGCAAAAAGCTGGTCAGCAGTTGTAAGATGAGTTTGATTGTTGTAATGTAAATAAAGATTTTTTATTCTGATTATTTAAGACTATATACGATTTTTGACATGCAATGTTTTTTACTAGAATGTAGTCTAGGTTTGGATAACTTTTATTTAGTCAAACAGTGTTGGCAGAGACGATGTACAAATCTTCAGAGTGTAGTGAAAATGTATTAGTGCTGCAGTGGACTAATGGGATCCAAAGCATGAAGGAGTGTGTGTATTTGAGGAAGTTTGGAGAGCTATGGAAGAGTGATGGTTGCCGTGAGTGTTTGAAAGTGTTTGGAGTAAGATCTTTAAATCAATAGTCTACAATATGATAAAGAGCCACTGGAGCTGTCCAAGAAAAGGGCTGATGTGATGCATAGAGGGAGCTCTGGATGGGTTTAGCTGCAATTTATGAAATGCTTCATAAGGTAAACCATATAAAGGGATATTACAGTTATCAAGACAAGATGTGACATATTAACTATGACAGTCAGTGCCGTTAGTAAAGAGTGATAGCTAGAAATCATTGATGCTATGGTTAGTGAAAGTAAGCAGACTGAGTTATTTTATTTTATTTGTGCACTAGACTGTTGACTTGTTTGGAGGACCAACTGTGCCATATATAAAAATATTTATAGAAATTAATAAATGCTCAATAAATAAATAAGCATTCAATTAATTGCCCCCAAAAATACAATAAACAAATAAAAGTAGGTAGAAATTTAATAATACAGTGAGACATAAATGTATATATCTCTTTTAATTAGCTTCTTTATTTATTCGCTTTTGTAATAAGTACCTTATTTATTTATTGTCTGTTATAATCTTCAACTTTATTTATTTATTACTTATTTTTTTAAGTATTTATTTATGTGTATGATATAATATTTTTCTGTTTTATTCTTCCTTTGTATTTTTTACCCCTTTTAAACTTTATTTATTTATGCCTGTCGTTTTTTACATTTCTGTATGCATTTCTACATCATTATGCAAATGGGGAGGGGTGTGTCTTAGAGGGTCAACTTCTGCCCATTGGTTCATCAGCGTTTTACTGCATATGTTGAATCTACAGGAGGAGAGGAGAGTCTGAAGTCGAGTCTGAAGTCAGTGGCCATTTCTCAATTCAGTAGAACGCCAGTATGGATTCCTTGCAAATTATGTTCTTGAGAAAAACCCAGGAAAGTCTGGACTCTGGGAGAACGGGAGCACGCAGTATAAATCTGGGCCAATTGGAACAGAAGCGTAGTGATGATGTCGCCACATCCTCGGCTCATCTGAAGCTGTTTTTCTCCTCCTGTTATTAATAGAAAATAATAAATCAGGACTTTTTTCATTTAGTGGGGGAATAATAATTAACACAGTCAGATAAACACAAATCAAATGAACATTTTGCCAAATAAAACAAAAAATCAGCATCATAGCCAGTGGTACTTCACACGCGGGCTGAGGTTAGCCCTGGCTGCCATTAGCCTCGGAGCTCCGCTGGTTGCTGCAGTCCTCTCAACTTCGGAACATTTTTTTTTTTTTATTACGCATAAAATTGGTAAATGGGCCATATTGTGACGCTTAAAAGTCTAATGTTTCTGCCTCAAATGATCTTAAAATGTAATTTTATTGAACAACAGCAACAGAAAAGTGAAATTTTAACTCAATACTCTGACCTCTGTGAGTTATTCCGTAAAAGTAAAAAAAAACCAACAAAAAAAGTGAGTTAAGAAGATGAGCTGCCAACCAATGAGCAGATGTTGACTCTCTAAGACACAGCCCTTCTCATTTGCATAATGAGGCAGAAATAAATAGTGTTTAAAATAAAGGGGGTAAAAAAATACAAAGGAAGAATAAAACAGACAAAAATATTATATCATACACATAAATAAATGCTAAAAAAAAAGTAATAAATAAATAAAGTTGAAGATAAGTACGAATAA